ATTCTTAAAGTATTTTATACTTATTTTTTATCCTTCAATTTTAAAAGATATAAAACGTTTATACTTCCATCAATTAAGGTAGTTAACTCACCTAAGTGATATTTTTTTATATTTTTTTATGACATAAAAAATTAACTTAAAAAAATATTGATGTAAACAATTTTTTTTTTATGACACGTCATCTCCCCACTGTTCAAACGCGCTAAAGCCCCTCAGTGAGTACCACGTTATCTACAAACCACCGATAAATAAAGAAATATGTGTTTTGGGTTTCTCTTTCAGTAAAAAAAATCTAAAAGGGACAGAGATTTTCTTCAAACCCAAACCCCGGATTTTCTTTGGATTGCAGAAAAAAATTAAAAAATACAGACAGTGAGTCACGGACCTGGTGGAATCCGAGTTCCTTAGTGAGTGGCACACCGAGTTCGGCCATGCAAGCCTACATTCTGTCATCGGAGCCGTACAATCCAGGGCACCTCTGAATACACCGTCCTGCATCTTTGAGAGTGCCTCTGCCAAAGGGCAGTTGATAGCGAATCCGCCGCCGCCATACGCCATGCCATACGAGAAATATATGTTCTGCAAGTGGGACCCGATAGGCTCCCGATGTAATAGAACTGGTTGTGATCGTACTTATTCAAGACCCTCACCAGATTCTCCGTTATGAAAACAGTGTCATTGTCCCCCATCACGAACCACCTCACGTTCTCCTGCTTCAAATGCAGTGTCTCCGACACGATCCGCGAGATCCGAATCGCAGAACGGTGCCCCTTCCTGTTAGTGTACGGGAATTTCGAGCTGTCGTTCAAGATTCTCACCGGCGGCAACATCTGCCGGTCCTCAGCTGTGTACTTCACTCGGTTGTCGAGCCACACCACCCCCCGCATTTGTTTTGGGCGGTACCAAATCTTGATGTACTCTTTCCTCTGCTGCCAGAGCTTGGAGGAAGCCGCGATACCAAAAACGATGTGCTGGATCTCCGTCCGGTTCCCACTGGCTTCCCCCTGCACGTCTCGAAGAGGAACATCGACCATCTGATTCTGAATCGACGGAAGGGGCAAGGTTGTGTTGGATACTAAAGGAAATCTGGGTTTGGGTTCGACGAAAATCTCTGTTCTTTTATATTTTTTTACTCCTGAAAGAGAATCCCCAGAAGACATCGTTCTTTTTTTTATTGGTGGTTTACAGGCAAAGTGGACCATTGAAGGGGCTTTAGCGCGTTTCAATTGCGGGAAGATGACATCCATAAAAAAAAAAAAAAGTTAGATCAACACCTTTTTAATTTGTTTTTGAATGTTATAAAAAATTATAAAAAATGTTATGTGGGCAAAGTTAACTGTCCTAATTAAAAGAAGAATAAACATTGTGTATTTTTTAAAATTGATAGTTAAAGATAAAAAATGTGCACAAAATGAGCATTTAACGAAAAAATGTGCAAATTCATAAAGTTGAGGAGCAAAATGAGTATTTAACCAATTATTTAAAAGATGAGAAAAGATTTGACGGTGAAGATCATCCTCTGATGATAGAAACCAAATCTGACGGTTATAATCGCGTTAAAGTATTTTATTATACGCTTCTTTTAAAATCAGAGGAAGTATGAACCTCTGATTAGGCAGACTGCCGCCATAACCAGCGAGAGCAATTTTGAAATGTACGACGAGATGAAATCCGCATCTGCTAGTGACGCTCCGGCGGAGATGAGCGTTAGCTGAGCCGCAGTGAAGAGTCGCGTCGGCTCCGGGGACGACGAGATGCAGTTTCTCAGCGACGCCATTCGATCCTTGCCTTCTTACGCCGTTAAGGACCTTCTGTCCGTCGGGGTTAGTAACTCTCTTGATTTTGAAGGATTCGTTCTCATTCGATCTGATTACCTGATTGACATCAAGTTCGGTTCCGTTGTTATGTGATTTATATTTTTTTAGAAGTTTTTGTTATGATTAATTTCAGGTATGTGTAAGATGCAGCTTTCGGCTACTCGGAATTGAGCAACAAGTTTATTGTTCTTCCTCATTTTCACCATCGCTACTGTGTTCATTTCTTGAAGAATCGACGTCTCCGGAAGCAGAAATCGAGTCGGAATTTTGCTGCGTTTGCTTAGGTATATTGCAGTTCAAGTGGAGCGATGATAAGGAAACATTAATGAAAAAGGAAAGCGCCAATGATATGACTGAATCAATTGCTGAGCTAGCGAGGCAAGAAGGCCATCAGATCGATGGCTTTTCTCTTGAAGTATCTGTACCGCAACCAATACTGGAAAACGAATCCGCGATTTTGTAAGAGCTCTTTGCCTCTTTTTGGCGGTGAATGATTCATTTTCCTGTAGCTTCGATTTCGATTCATGATTTTGTGTTCTTTTTTCTTTCTCTCGTGGTCACTCATAATGCGTTATGTATAAGCTTGAATTTTGGTTTTTAAGCAGTCAGCAAGCCTGTTAGCACTGTTTTCTGTTAGATGTGTAGCCTGACTATTTGGATCTAAATATGAACATTTTGTAGGTCAGATATGAAAAGGAACTTTGGCGATAATTCACATTCATTTAGTTTCATTTCATGATTTCTATTTCTTATTCATTTCTCTTGAGATTTTTATCCATGTTATGAGCTGGAGTTTTGGTTTTTAATCACTAAGAGAAGCATGCTGGTGTTGTTTTATTTAGTGTTAAAGCATAAAATGACCTCTTGGATTCTGAATATGAACGATTGAAGTGTTATAATTTCTTTCCATAATTTTGTAGGTCAGATATGAAAAGGAAATATGGATCTGAACTCTGGTTTCAGGAAAAGTCACTTTCAGAACCTAATTCTGTTAAGGATGCCCTAAAATTTGCTATGGTCAAACCACTGGAATCATTATTGGTAAGTATAGATTGCTATAAATGGTTTGATGCTCATTGATGTTGCTGTTGTTCTCTAGTATGATGTCTAGAGACTTAAATTATATCTGGTGTTGTATCTGCTAGGCTTTGGAGAAAAGAGGATCAGATTTAGTTACAAACTAAAAATCATGTATTTTATATATCTAGCATACTGTGTAGAGTTGTCTACCTACATCAGGTATTGCATCTGCTAGGCTTTGGAGAAAGGGAGAATCTGATTTAATTATAAACTAAAAATGAACTTTAGATTCGTATAAAACATATGAATTATTGTGTTCTGCCCTGTAATTCTAAATTAAATAAAAGTTTTGCAGGGCATTAAATCTAGTATAGATTCTTTCCAAATCCATTTGACATACAAACCCACAAAGGCATAAAAAATGATTCAGAATTCTAGAGGTAGGATCAGGGATTGCAAAAGGCAGAAGACAGACACTAACAATGGGTTGCACTCTGTTAATGATGAGTCAGTAGTTGCTGGTGCTGAATGTTCAGATCAATCCAATATTGAGGCAAATGCTGCTGCTGTGATGCCTTCTAATGGTTTGCAAGCTTGTGACACTTCTGAGTGCCTTGGATTCTCCATAGAGAAGGTTGTCTTTTCTTTTTCACCTTTTTCTCTGTTATGCAAAATGTCACCATCTGAACTATCCTCTCAAGAGTCAGCATTGTCATTGTAGAATTTGTGGTTCTTGATCACTTATTTTTTATCCTAATTGGAAGGCAATGTTTATGATAAATAAGAAATGTTAATCCATGTCTTTTTGAAAATGGCAGATTCTTTGCATTTGATTACTAATTTGTTTTTGTTGTGCTTAATTTTATGGAATTTGTTATTTAGCTTTCAAAATTTTGCCTTTTTAGGTCAATGAACCTTGCCACTTGGAATTACAATGCTACAGGACACCTATTTACTTTGGCGGTAGATACCTGAAGGTAACATATACTTCTTCAGAATATATCCTTTGTGTACTTTTTCAATTATTCTGATCAATGATTAGGGAAGCTTATAATTCTTCTTCTTGCAAAAATAATGTGTTTTGTTTTGGAGCAATTTCAAATTAGTGCAATGCTTTCATGTTGCAGTACTCAAGAAATGTGAGCCAAACATGCTGGATGATTGATGAAGAAAGGGTGGGAGAAGCATCTGTTGAGGTACTGGCTGCTGCTATGGCTTCCCTTGTTATGCATTACCAAGTCTGTTCCTATCAAAAGCTAACAGTTCTATGTGTTTGGTCCTCTTTTTTTGGTTGCTAGGAGATAATAGGTAGCAACATTCTTCCTATGTGTAAAGGTGATAATTACAAGTTTCATGCTGCTGGCAGAGAAGATATTGATGTAATGAAGATCTCTTTTATTAATTGCTTGCATAGTTTCAGTGCATATTGTGCTGATCCTCAGAATTGCCTTTTCCAGGTTCGAATGTTGGGTTCAGGGCGGCCTTTCCTAGTTGAGATACAAAATGCATGCCAAATCCCATCAGAGGCAATTGTAAAAGAAATTGAAGCAAGGATAAATGGCTCGGAAAATAAATTAGGAAGTTTGATATCAGGTTATTTAGAGACTGCTTGCATCAGCATCAAATTATTAAAATTAGCTGCATGAATCACATTTGCAGGTTGGAGTTAAAAATCTCAAAGTAGTGGGCAGTGAGGGTTGGGCACTGATGCGTGAAGGAGAATCAGATAAGCAGGTAAGTTTTTAGTTTTTTGCTACAATAATTTTACCTTTGAGGAAAATTTTGTTCCATTTGAACAAATATTATTGGAGTTGATTATTGGACCTGGGTACACTTTATCTTTTACCATCCCAAGTTACAAGTTTCACACAGAAGCAGTATGCTGCACTAGTGTGGATTTCTCGTCCACTTGATGACGAAGATTTGAAAACTATGTCTTCGCTCAAGGACATGGTGAGTTGTTCAGTGTGCTTTATTATTGTACTTTACAAATATAGTGGGGAAGTTATGGTTTAGCTCCAATTGCAAACCTTAGAAATCCAATCGCTTGCTTCCTTTATTCTTGCGCAGCAAATTATGCAAAAGACTCCGATAAGAGTGCTCCATCGTCGAAGTCCGTTGGAGCGGGAAGAACTTATAAATTGGTCAGAGGCTTTCCATTTATATTGCACAGCACTGTCATTTGGTTCATGTCATGTCTAGTTTCAAAACATCTGAAACATTTCCATTTTCTTTTCTCTTTCTTGAATCTTGTTTAGGATGAAAATTGAGAGGATTGCTGGAAGCTCTCAATATTTTCTACTGTATCTCTGCACTCAGGTTATTTTCTACATTTCATCATCTCCTAAAACCACATAACGGGATGCATTCAATTTTATAATCCTGATGGATATTATTCAATTTTATACCCTGGTATTGGTCCTTGGCTGGTTTAAACAGTATTCATATGGAGTACTCATCTAATTTGAAATATTTCAAATGCAGGCAGGAACATATATCAAGGAATTTGTTCATGGGGATCTCGGGCGGACACACTCAAGGTACAGAACTAACCGTCCTTTATGGTTATGCTGTCCATCGTAGCCACTCTTTAGATGTTTGAAAAGCTTTGGTCATCACTTCATTATTTTTGTCAAAAAACTGTTTTAGCCCGGACCATAAAACAGTAATCCTTAAATGAAGGATTGGGATCCTTAATATTGGGTTTTTCCGATGCAAAGATTCTTATTTTATGATTTGAATTATATAACAGCTTACCCTATTTTTATTTATATTT